GCTGAACTCCAGTCAATTAATTCCCTGTGCAGACATTTAACACGGGGAACATGGCAAAACCAGACAGCAACAGATGGTTCATTGTCATCAAGGCACTGATATTTCAGATGATTCTTCCCAGTGAAAACAAACAAACAAAAAAACACTAAAAAACAAACTCACCAAATGTTTAAATAAGTGAAACTAATACTATGGTGTTGGCAGTGGTTACTCTGCTCTAGTTACAGAAATGATAGCTTGGAACTAGCTGAGAAAATTCTCACTGATCACAACTGGAGAATATATGCAAAAAGACTGTAAGTTGTGTGAGCCTGGTCCCACCAGCTCAACTCAAGTGAGATGGAGTCACCTCCAGAAGTAAGAGGATTGTACAGGCTGTATGGGATCACCCTTTCCAAAGGCTGCCTGGCTTCTGCAGAATGGCACTCCTATCCCTTAAAATGCATAGATCGAGCTATCAAATCTTGAGACTAGCAAGTGCTGCTTGCTGCACACATGACATACAATTACACCCTTTCAGTTAATACTGACCAAAAATGAATCTTACACAAAACAGTATGTTAAAGCTGCAGCTCTGACACATTCTTTTCTCTTATACTGCAGTTCAGAGCATTGCTCTGCGCCATCACAAATCTTCCCCCACCACCATCTCCACTGTTTTCTGTGGTACCAAGTCCCTCAGCCTGAACCAGCGGGTTTGATTTCTCCGGTGTGCCTCAAATCATACCTTTTTCTGCATCAAAACTGGGCCATTTCTATTGGCCATGATCCTCCACAGCCTTTGCTACCAATTTAGACATTACTGTATAAATTAATAGTGTCTCTTACCATCAACTGAGACTTCCCGGGACCTGACCAGGTCGCTTTTATTGCCCACAAGAATAATAGGTATGTCTTCTGTCTGCCTTGCTCTTCTTAGCTGGATTCTTAGCTCAGAGGCCTTTTCAAAACTAACTTTGTCTGTCACTGAATATACAATAATATAGGCATCTCCCATTTTCATACAGTGGTTCTGAAGCCACTGGCTGTCATCCTAAAACAAAAGGTGAGAATACATTTATTGAAAAAATCTATTCAACACTCATTAATGATTTAATTACTATAAGCACCTTAGAGATATTTTTCTTAGCTTTATTATAAAGTCAGTAAAAGTAAGCCAACCTCCCCCCCCCTTTTTTTAAGTATTTTGTTGTTTAAAATATATTACAAGACAAAATGCTCTTATTTACAGAAATAATATCAGGTCTGCACTGATGAGATTGTGATCTCCAATTTTACAGTAATTCCCCGGGCTGCTCATGTAAGCTGCTGCTTATTCAAAGCATTAAGGGATTCACACTCCAGCCCTATTCACATTTTTTAATTGCTTGCCTAGCTACGAGAAATTAATTGCAGGAGAGAACAAAAGCAGTATGAATTCTGATTTTTTAAGGTCACTTTTTTAACGGTACTGATCTCATCGAAGAAATAGGCAGACGTTTCCATTTCTTCCATTTCGTTCCGTTTCTACTTTTTTAAGAGTGAACCACTGACTAAGCCATAAAGAAAAAAATATCTTAAAACTGTAAGTACCTGCTCCCATATGTCGAACACCACGAGAGATGCTTCTTCTCCGTCAACTATAATTGATCTGTCGTAGGTATTTCCTACGGGGGAAAAAAGTTCCGAAAAAATAAGTTACTCCGCGCCCGCCGGCAG